GCTACTAATTGTAGTGGTGTGTGGTACATACTGGATACAAATATTGAGTACCTTTATTTAATGCAGTTCTTTAAATGCATTTTTTTCCTTGTTCTTTCTTGTAGTAAGCAACAGATCGACATTCTGCCAGGCCAAAATGTACTAAAAATTATACAAGATCGTTTTGAAAGTAAGCCTCTAACTCTTGTCTTTCGGTCTCTTTGAGTTGTTATTTGAAGAATAAATTATAACCCTCTCACCAGTAGCACCTAATGAAATGAGTAGTTGTATGATTATTTGGGGGTTTTTTTGGCACTATGCCTACATAGTGCAGACAACACAATGATTTGTTTCAAGCATGGTTCTCAACCTTTTTAGGCTTGAGGCGCACCCCTTGACAGACTTCAGGCGTTTGAGGAAAATGCCGGCTCTTTGTTTTCACTTACTTTTTGGCTTGAAAGGATCTTAAGGCACCGCAGGGCCTGGCTGGGATTCATTGGTTTAAAACACGTGAAAACTACACAAATTGTTCTTTTCTTATGCTTTATTTAATGCAGCTCTACTCTTAAGTTTGATACAGTAATTTGTAACTATTACAGTATAGTAAACTCTTTTCTGTGGCTTTTGTTTTGTGTGTAGTGTTAAGGCTGGTATGGTTTTACATTATGCATCGTGCAGTGGCAAGTATAATTCCTCATAAGATGCTGTAGTGTCACATATCCAGATGAATTCAGCTGTCTGAATGGCTTTCAGAGGGTGCTTTGCAAGGGATTTTGGGTAACTGAAAATGTACTGTACTTAAAAGATGAAAATTATGTACTATTTATCTTGTTATATTTATAACTTTTTCTTTTTAGGTTGTGTGGATGATATTACAACATATTCTCCAAGCCTAACACATTGCTCAACCCCCATTGATATAAGCCAAAAAGAGAATGAGGTAAGTTACAACATGGTAAAAGTATGCAGAAACTCTTAATCATTTATTGAAAGTCTGTAAATGACTGAAAAAAGAAGTGTTGTTGAATTGTGATAAAATCTACTTTAAGTAACTTCAGATGAGATTAAGAGCAGAAAATACAGCTATGTGCTCTAAGGATTTATATTTTAAGTCAAAATGCTTTTATTGTTGTTGTATGAAACCATTTCCTTTTCTACTTCTGTTGTTTGCTAGAAAATATTGCAGAAAAGTTCAGGTTTATTGGACTTGGTGACTAAGGGCTTTACTGATAGTCCATCTTTAGCTCCGTCTCCAGTAAAAACAACTGACAGCACAGGTTAGTGCTACTACCTTTGAACTATTACATTTTTGGGGGGCAACTGTTTTTTTTGGGTTTCTTTGTTTGAAGCTAATTCCATTTCATACTTATGGCAGAACAGTCACTTGCAACACTTCAGAAATCTGCAATACTTAAAGACACTGATTCTAGTGAAACAAAGGAGCGTGTGGTAGAAGAAAAAAGCTCACATGACAATGACATTGTGGACACTAAGGATCTCGTTGCTTCTAGCAAGCAAGATGATGTTTTGGAAGGTGTTGAAACCACAAGTCAAAATCCTGCTGACACTTCTGAAGATGAGGATATTGATGTGACCATGGGGTCACCTCTTCTTTTGGAAGAAGCAAAAATGTCTCCTGTACGCTTGTAAGTAGAGCTGCACTTTTTGGTGATTTTTAAATTTGCAGAGAGAACAGTTTGTCATCCTGTATCAAATCTGACCTGAATTCCCAACTTGATTAATGTTGGCTAGTAAAATGTTTCAGGCTAGTTTAACAAAACTACTGGAGGTGGAAGGAAGTAACAGTGCTTCACGTTATCCAGTAGTCTAGTGTTTTAGGTACTCTTCCCAGGATGTGGGCATGCTAGTTAAATTCTTCCTCTTCCCAAAGGATTTAATCTCTAACTGCCATGCTACAGGGGAATTTAAGGTGTGTGGTGTGTGTTTGCAAACCTCTCAGTAAGTTGTGTTTGTTTTATTTTGTAGAACTAACTAACCTTATGCCCAGGGGTGCAGGTTTTCCATTTTGTGTGGAAAAACACAGATTTTCCCCTTTAATGGAGAAAATAACAGACCTTTTCCCCTTTCAAGGAGAAACACCCAGATTTTCCACCTTCCACTTGCTCCTAAAGGCCGAGAGGCAAAAATAAGCTGTGATTTTTGCATCCTACTACCTGCTGCTGATTGGATGGGAAGTAAAAACTGCGGCATATTTAAAACTGCAAAACTGGCCATCAGGAATGAGCTGCGTGTGGTGGGGCTGACAGCCCCAAGCAGCAGTAGTGGTGCGTGTGGGGAACTCAAAGACTAAAGGAGCCTCGTTTCTGTGAGCTGCACTGTGTTTTAAAGCAGGCCCTACAGGGTATAGTTAAGTTCCTGGGGTGCAGGCGAAGCGGGGTTGGAGGGCCAGGGTTTGGGGGTAGAGCTCTGGCAAGCTTGAACGGGTTCTGCGCCATTGGGGGGACCCCAATGGTGCGGTATTGGCTTATCTGCCTGGTTAATAATTGGCTATTGGTATTGGCCAAGAAAATATTTATTAGTGCACCCCTAGTAACAACCATTTTCCTTCAGCTTCACTGAAGGGAGCTGGGGGGATCCAAGCTAAATCTCCTCCAAGATGTGCAGTGAAATTCAGTGGTTGACTGTTTTGAGCTTCTGATTAAGAACTGGCTTATTCTGATGACCATTTGGTGAGGAAAATTGTGACAAAACTGACAAAAGTATCACAGCTAGAGTAGTCACATTGGACTAAAGAGAAATTTTGAAGTTGTGCTGAATACACTAATAACTATTTCCATAGCCTTGGACAAACTATCGCAAGATTGCTGGAAGGAAAGGAATGGTCTGTCTTGAACCTGAACTCAGCACGCATGTGTCAGATGGAAATAGGAAATAAAATACACTCCTTTTCCCCTCCTCTCCTGCTTTTACTGTGGTTCATCATGTTTAGTTAGTTGCTGCTGCCTCCCGTGACTCCTCCCTTACTAATGCAGGGGCTTACTTGGATTTGTGAACAATAGTCAACCTACCGAAAAGGAAGAAAAGCTTTGGTTTAAGGTTTTTAACAGTGAATGTCAGTGAGTAGAACTGTACTGTAGGATTGTTCTTATAATCTAAACTTTGGCTTTTCAACTTTTAAGTACCTATATTAGTTAATATTCTTTTAAAACCACAGGGTCATTAGCTCCATAATTGGAATCACCTGTCTAGGCAGTGGAGAGATGTGCTGTCTCTCTTGCTGCAGTAAAGAGGCAATGCTCTTTTGTCTGCCAAAGGTTTTCTACAGAATAAAGCACCTTACAGGTTTTTCAGGTGTCCTTTGGCTATTGTGAACCTTTATGGCATGCAGGAGCTCTTCCTCAGTCCCCTTGCTCATTGGAAGCTTTGCAGGCACGTTATTCAGCTCCTTTATATCTTGCTTGTAAGTTGTGCAGGAGCCATTTCTTCACGTCTGGGCATTCCTACCAATTTTCAGAAATACATTCTATTTTGTTCTGTTAAGCATAAATCTGTGATTTTGCTAGATAGCAGATGTAAATGTGCATAAGCTATCTTGGCTAGCAGAAGTAGTTTAGTCTGAGTTTTGCATGAGGTGATAATTTATTTTGCTAGGAAAGGTAAATTAGATTGTTTCATTCTATTATGTCTGGGTTGTTCCTGGTACCTAAGGTAGGCTTGGGTATCCAGTGTAGATGTACCCAAAATTAATTAGGCACACAGTTGCTTGGAACTACAAGATGGGTTTGGGAATCGTTGCTCTTGGCATTATCCAGTGAGGGTTATCATCATGCCAGATTTCACCTTTTTACCACAAGCTATTTTATCTGTAAAATTTAAACGAAAATGAACACCTTTTATAGAAATTTCTTTACTTCTCTTATACTTGATAATATATGGATGATTTTCTTTTGAGTTTTCAACAAAATCTCATCTCCGTGCAGATGACAAAGCATAGTAAGTGAAAGGTGAAAATTACAGTGTAGTGTACTTAATTTAAGTGCATAGCCTTGGGACTGAAAAAGATTATTCATTTACCTGGAACATACACTTAATCAAACTTTTAATGTAAACTATGCTTATTATGTATATAGTTCTGTTGGTGCTCTGGTATAAGTACCCCAATCCTGAATTACTCCCATTATTTCCAAGGCTTGTAACAGCAGCCCTTTGAGAGCTGCTTCCTCTTCAATATGTCTGGTGTGGTTAGAGGTGGTACAAAGTGTACAAAATATACAGTTAAAGATAATTTGCTGGAAATGGGAGTAGAGGTAGGTTACGAAGTAGACAGTGGGGCTGGAAAATACTATGCACTTGTTTTGTACAGATAACCAATATTTGCTGAAATGTAATCAATAGGTAACAAATTGGGACTGGCATTGTTTGCCCAGGGGTGGGCAAAATGGTTGATATCACCTGCAGCTGGATCCAGTTCCCAGCAGCGCAGTGGCAGTGGATCTTGGGGCCGGAACAGAGCTGTGATCCATTGCTCACTTGCCCCTGTGACAGGTGCCAGTTCTGCAGGCAGTTGATCTTGGCTCAGTGGAATCAGTGGAACATATTTTGTGAAAACAGTGATGATGTTATAAAATATCATGCAACAGCAGTTATACATAATTGTGATATAATAAAAGCCTTAGTCTGTCTGTTTGTCTTTAACGCTGTGTGCCAACTGTGCATGCTCCACTGAGAGTGCACGTGCTGATTGGCTTTGAGGGCTTGGAGCATTACGGACAGGGGGGGTAGGGAAGCCTCCGTGGGCCCCCCCAGCAACAGCCGGCAGGGAGGGGGAGGCAGCAGGGAAGAGGGGCGGGAGGGGAGTGAGAGGGAGAATGGAAAGGGGCAGTGTCTGGTGGCAGCGCCCACCATCACCGCATCGCCCTGTGCCCCCCGCCCACTGCCACCTTGCCCTTGCTGCCCAGCCCGGACAACAGGTGGCAGAGAGGGGAGGGCAGCGGTGGGGCAGGGAGGTGGGGCATGCTGGGTGCTGCTGGCCACTGCTGCATGCCAGCTTCCCCCTCCCCCCCCTTCCCCCGTTTCTGAGAGCCAGCTGTGGCATGGTGTGCGGGGGGACACCACAGGGTCAGACATGGTGGGGTGGGACGGGGCCGCATGGGGCTGGATGCAGGGAGTGGATGTGCATGGGGCCAGAGGCAGAGCAGCAGCACTGCCGGGTGCTGGGTGGCGGTGCTCCGTCTTGGCTCAGCTGCCCCCCCACCAATCATGATGGCCAATTTGCTAGTAGTTTATGTAAATATATTACATATAAAACAGTCATCTTACTTGTAAATAACACTAATAGTGATATAGCATTATACTATAATAATAACAACCATAACAGCTACTAATTGTAGTGGTGTGTGGTACATACTGGATACAAATATTGAGTACCTTTATTTAATGCAGTTCTTTAAATGCATTTTTTTTTCCTTGTTCTTTCTTGTAGTGAGCAACAGATAGACATTCTGCCAGGCCAAAATGTAATGAAAATTATACAAGATCGTTTTGAAAGTAAGCCTCTAACTCTTGTCTTTCGGTCTCTTTGAGTTGTTATTTGAAGAATAAATTATAACCCTCTCACCAGTAGCACCTAATGAAATGAGTAGTTGTATGATTATTTGGGGTTTTTTTTGGCACTATGTCTACATAGTGCAGACAACACAATGATTTGTTTCAAGCATGGTTCTCAACCTTTTTAGGCTTGAGGCACACCCCTTGACAGACTTCAGGCGTTTGAGGAAAATGCCGGCTCTTTGTTTTCACTTACTTTTTGGCTTGAAAGGATCTTAAGGCACCGCAGGGTCTGGTTGGGATTCATTGGTTTGAAACATGTGAAAACTATACAAATTGTTCTTTTCTTATGCTTTATTTAATGCAGCTCTACTCTTAAGTTTGATACAGTAATTTGTAACTATTACAGTATAGTAAACTCTTTTCTGTGGCTTTTGTTTTGTGTGTAGTGTTAAGGCTGGTATGGTTTTACATTATGCATCGTGCAGTGGCAAGTATAATTCCTCATAAGATGCTGTAGTGTCACATATCCAGATGAATTCAGCTGTCTGAATGGCTTTCAGAGGGTGCTTTGCAAGGGATTTTGGGTAACTGAAAATGTACTGTACTTAAAAGATGAAAATTATGTACTATTTATCTTGTTATATTTATAACTTTTTCTTTTTAGGTTGTGTGGATGATATTACAACATATTCTCCAAGCCTAACACATTGCTCAACCCCCATTGATTCAAGCCAAAAAGAGAATGAGGTAAGTTACAACATGGTAAAAGTATGCAGAAACTCTTAATCATTTATTGAAAGTCTGTAAATGACTGAAAAAAGAAGTGTTGTTGAATTGTGATAAAATCTACTTTAAGTAACTTCAGATGAGATTAAGAGCAAACTTTCAGTTGTTTTTCTACTTGTTTTATGCTCTCTTACCAATCAGGTATATGGTTATGTTTTCCTAAGCAGATGGAGGCAGTATAATTAAGTCTTTGAAAGATGTCCCTTGTATATAAAAGGAATTTGTCACCTCCCAGTCTTCAATTGTTTCTCTGTAGAAGGTAGAATAGTTCCATTTCTAGTTGGCTTAAAAAAAGACAAAGAAAAGCCGTGTTTAAAATCATGGAAATTGTTCCCTTTGTGATTGCACC